CCAAGGAATAATGGGGGCTAGCAGGTCAGAAGTTATGGTGGCTCTGGAGATCTCTGAGCTTATGGCTTCCGTTCTGAGGGGATACAAGGAACCGTCAAATTTGTAGCCAGCAGGTCAGGAGTGGGAGGGCCTAACGACCTCAAGCCTGTGGCTGACATCTGTAAGTCTTAGGCAGATTTGGAAGTCTGAAAACTGTGCCTTTTAACTTGTGCACTTTTACTTAGCTCTGGTCAGCTTAGGATCAGAGGAAGAAATACTGCATTTGCAGTTGGTATCAGAACAGAATTTAATTGATTTGCTCAAGCCCTACCAAAGCTCAAAATGAGTGAGGAACCACACTTGAATTGCAAAAATCATAGCCCTTAGATAGACTAACTGGCTATAGGCTCAAATACCTGTCAGAGCCAGGAAGCCAGATGCGGACTCTGGTCAAATGAACACAACAGTATCTAAGTAGAGAGCCACTGCTTAAGTCCAGTTGATTGCTGTCATGTGGGAATTCAGGATCAAGATTTCCAGGTCTGAACTTTCTCAGATGTCAGATATACAGATTTTTATGTGAAAAGTCCCAATGTTTATGTTAACAACCAATTCAGTTAAACTTGCAAGTATAACAAGCCTTGTTTTTGAGTTGGCTTCAGTCTACAGGCCCCAATGGGTATCCTCTGGGCTACATGTTCAGCACCGAGCAAAACTGTACTATAAGAAGGTAACCCCATACCTCCAAAAGCAGCATGAAATAGTTCCTCTTTCTTTCTACTACATCAAAAAGGTATTTCATTAAAATAATAAGTAGGGTTTTCTGAGTCCACTTGAAGCTTCAAAATTGAATTTCCATCCCTATAGTATTTCAGTATTTTTAAATCGCTCTTCTGTGGGGTTCCTATGCTATCCTTAAAATGGGGATTTGGATTCACCCACCAGAGAAATTGATCATATTGCAAGGCCCAAAGGCATGCATAGAATCATTACTACAAGGTCTATGGGCATTCTTAGAGTAAACAGACCAGTAATTTGGATCACATTTGCCACCTTGCCAAGTTGCACATAGGAGAATTATTAATTTATTTTAAAGTTTAAGTACTTTGGAAGTATTATCTTACTGAAAGGAGCTCTGGTGGTGAAATACCTAAAGCATATGTCTGTTAACCAGAAGATTGGTGATTCAAACCCACCAGCCACTCCACTGAAGACTGGGCAGTCTACTTCTGTAGAAATTTACCACCTCAGAAACCCAAAAGTTCTCAGTAAGAAGAATTGTAGGAAAGGAAGAAAGACCAAAATTGATGTCAAAAGAGACTCTGAAACTTGCCCTTGAATGGAGAGTAGCTAGAGCAAATGGAAGAATCAACAGGATAAAAGAGCTGAACAGAAGATTTCAAAGAACAGCTCGAAAAGACAAAGTCAGTTATTATAATGAAATGTGCAAAGAATTGGAGTTAGAAAACCGAAAGGGAAGAACACACTTGGCATTTCTCAAGCTGAAAGAACTGAGAAAAATATTAAGCCTTGAATTGCAATATTGAATGAGTCCATGGGCAATATGTTGAATGATGCAGGAAACATCAAAAGAAGATGGATGGATACACAGAATCACTATACCTAAAAGAATTGGTAGATGATCATCCATTTCAGGAGATGGCATATGATCAAGAACCAATGGTATTGGAGAAAGAAGTCGAAGTTGCACTGAAAGAATTGGCAAAAAACAAGGCTCCAGGAATTGACAGAATACCCA